TCTACATGTGAGACAAAGGTTTATAAATGTTCATGTAAGAAGATGTTACTAAATGGGAAGATGCCCACGTCAAAAGAAACCAAAACGAACGTGGATAAAACCATCAAGAGGACTATCTTGACCACAGTGATTTTACTAAAGATAAAATTCTTAAATAAAGTACAACGGCATAGTTCAATTCATATAGCCGGCTGCATTTAATTACTGTTAGCAGAAGCTAGCAAGAAAGCAGAAAGTGAAGCAGATCTGAAATGGGAATCAGGAATTACCTTTTGATGTTGTTGCTTTGACTCATCACAAACCCAACTCATCTCAAGTTCAAAGGCCTTATCTTTTGCTTCATCATGTACCTTGTAGATACTGCTTGAGAAAAACTCACATCGTTAAATCTAGTAATAGCATCAAAAACTTGCATTCAAAAGGAAGAGGAAGAAAATATCATTTATTTCAGTGCATGATGAAAGTAAAAATTTAAGAAAAAAACAAAAGTGCTTCTCCTAGACATCCTTCATCTCAAAACTTCTAGTTCTCTTGCTCATGTCTAATTTGTTTTGAATTTTACTTACTGCAAGAAAGTGGCAAGTTAAACACTATCAGTATATATTGCCAACTCCAGAGACAAGGTAATTCAACTATTCTCGAACTGTTGCCAAAGAAGCGAGATTTCAGTTTGTTGTAGTATGTAGGATCATATAGTAGGAGACAAGCGCACAACAATCCATAATCCAAACAAGATTTATATAGTTAGTTCTTACATAATGAATTACACAAATATTTCCTGAGCAAGAAAAAGGCCAAATTCTGACATAGATGTGAGTTTTTTTTTTTTGACAAGCGAGAAGTGAGATATCAGTTTGTTGTAATATGTAGTATCATATAGTAGAACACACACGCGCACACAAATCCATAATCCAAACAAGATTTATATAGTTAATTCTTACATAATGACTTAGGTAAATATTTCCAGTGCAAGTAAAAGGCCAAATTCCAACATATAGGAGATAAAATCAGATTTCCAAGAAAATTAAACTATTATATGTGTTCCGCATTACAGTTGAAGCAACCTACAGCATTAGATATATAAAAGAAGACAAATGAATTAAATTTGAGACATTCTTTTACAAGACCTCTGTAAAATTATCTCTTTTCAGGTACAATATAAGCTTAAAATTACATTTAATCCAAACTCTTGGCAGCTGGTTTCTGCTATGTAGTTGAATATTTGTGCACAAGTACCATTGGTTGTCAATCGTTTCAAGGGAATACATAAATCTTTCCACCATCATAACAGTCACGCTAATATTGTGCTAAACCGGACATTGCAAAGAATAGCCAAACAAATGGAGAAAAGAAAACAATTTCATGTTGTTGCCCAGATTTTCTGTTATAGCAAGGATGACAGATGACTACATTCAAAATGATGATGCAAACAAGAATCTTTAAAGGGGGAAAAGCAAGAGAAAACTGAAAAAGAAATGTAAAAACAATTTTAGAACCACCAATTAACGTGCCCAGATTCCAAATTAGTAGATTAGAACAGGAACAGGAAGAAAATAAGATAGGCAACACTCACATTTTGGCTACTTCAATAACCCCTTCCCTGCATGTCATTTCAGAGAGCTTCAACTTTTCAATTTCTCTGTCCACATTTTCCATTCAACCATGAACTTATCAGTTATTGGCAAGATGAATGCAGAAAGAAAAAGGTAACCAAAGATTACAAAGTTGAGATGATAAGAAAGGTTTTAGCTTCTTTATATGTTTCGTGGGATAAACCCCTAACCAAATAGAATGGAGAAAATAATTTCATGTAGCTAGGCCCAACTAGTTCCATGTCAAGGCTAAGTTAACTTGATTTGATGAATCAAAGGCAAATGACAAGTAGTGAAACAGCACACGGTTCATTGCCTTAATCTAGTTGGGTACATCCACTCCACATTTGTATACTTTATTTTTTATTAAAATTGAAAAATGCAAACTCGGATTAAGGTTTACTTGGGCTCCATTGAGGGGTTTTATGTTTCAAATTTTAAATATAAACTTTAAAGCTTTCAATTTCTATGATGCATCCATATTTTCTCCTTTTTTTTAAAAAAAAAGACAAATAACAGTATTGAGGAAATGCATAAGTTGGGGGGGAGGGGGGAGGGAATCTTAATGATTTGAGAGAATGCCAGGAATATCTTCATTACTGATTGGCTTTCATAAGAGAGAAACTATAAGCAGGAAAAAAAACGATTCAAGTCCATTAAAAGGCTTTTCAACTGATGACCATTGCATCAAAATACTACACTAGCTTTCACTGGTCCAGATGGCAAAAATAAAAGTGAAGAATATATAATGCCCCAATCATCCCAACTAACTAGCTTGCATGACCAAATGGTTTTATCAAATGTCAGCCTCTAAGTTCCACAGAACGAAAGAAATACTTTTGTAACTTATGTTTTGGCAGCTTGTTTTCCCTTCCCAATTGCAGCACCAAAATATTTCTACATCAATTTTAACAAGCAACGAGGCAAACAGGAAGAAATACATTATTGACCAGAGGAAAATATAAGTACACCAATAGAGCTAGAAACAACACAGAAAGGGAAAAAAAAAGCAATAATTGGGAGAAATGAACTTACATAGGAGATGCCAGATGGTTCAACCATAACCATCTCTATCATAACCTCCGAGTATTATACCACAGCCGAAAGGCCTGAGCCACCAGAAGAGGGTGCATAAATGGACATAACTTGCGACGCGTTCAGCAAGTTCTTTGACAGGAATGGGTTCACCATACACACTACACCACTGCCAACAACAAACGAAACTTATATTTAGAAAGACATATACCAATATAATTAAAGCTGAACTTTGCGAATTGAGAGTAAAGAAAAAAGGAAAACCCTTTGGTAATTAGTAGCTTCAGATTTAGCACGTGCCACAATTTGTCTACCGTCAGCTGCTAATCCAGCCACTGACTGAATTATATATTCAACATGAGCAGGGAAAGAGAAAGAGAGATTAAGAATCCAAATGTGGCTGAAAAAAGGGGGAATAGTAAATACCATGCCGGAATGGCGATGAACGGAATGGATTCTACGATTAGAACCAGGTAACATCATCTTTGATGCTATCAGCTTCTCCACTCCCTAAACAAAAAATCAGTTTAGCATACATTTAAATATTTGATTTTCATTTTCAAAACAAGCAATGGAAGCAAAAGAAAAGGGATTACCATAACGATCTCATCTTTGCATTTTATTCCAATTACAGTTCTGCAAAATAAAAATTTTTTGAGAACAAAATTAGATTTTTGGCAACCTAAATATATAAAAGAAGAATATAATTATCAAAGAAGAAGAACGGACCCACTGTTATCGACGGCTTTGGCGGCGTACTCGATCTGGAAAACGCGCCCGTCGGGAGAGAAAGTGGTAACAGAGAGATCGTAACCAGTTCCGATGCTACTCATCTTTCTTATCTGATCTGCTTTTTCCTACTTCCAACACTTCCCTTTTCTCCTAGCACTTTTCTTCTTCGTATTCGTTCCTTGGCCATGATATAATTTTCTCTCCTTTTATACTTCCGGTTTCTTTCTCCTCAAGATTTCACGCCGATGCCAAAAAAAAAAATAAAGTCAGGCCTATGGGCCTACTTGGGCCACTGATGCTCTAACTATATTTTGATTGCTTTGGTAGATCAAAGTAAGCCCAAATACTTTTTTAAATCATCTTAAGTCATTTAAACTCATAAAATCGTAGAATTTTTTTTTCTTTTCTAATAAAATTATGTCTCGACGATTAGAGGTGGATTCAAATGGACATTTAGAATGTTTATGAAAATTTTAAAAAATAAAAAAATTTGAAGGAAATTTTTTTTTTTTTACATCCATTAATTTTCAATTGAATACCTTCAAAAAGTGAAATAAAAAAATTGAAAAAATTTATGAAAAAATTCTAAAATAGTTTTTTAATAATTTTTTATTAGTAAAATTATTTTTTATATATATTATAAGTGATCATTTAAAAAAAAATTTAGATCCATTTATTAAAATGAAAAAATTTTGGTTTGAGTTCAAACACTTTAACCCCATCTCCATTAAAAAAAAATAAAGATAATTTAGGCTAGCTATCTAGACAGAGGTGAAGTTAAGCCTCTTCCGAATTGGAAAGCTAATGGACAAAAACTCCACCATACTTCCGATGTGGGACTACGATGGGGGCCCATGCAACGGTGAATCTAGGAGAGGTTGTGATTGTGGAACATATACAGTATTTAAAAAGACATAGGTTTCATAATAATTGAGAGGAAATTAATTATTATAATGATAAAATTAAAATTAATAATAAAAATATATATTTAAATGTAAATATAATAATAATGAGATAAATTATAATTAAAAAATAATGATTAAAGTGTTAAATTAAAATTTATATATAATAAAAAATTTAAATTATTTAATATTTATAAAATTAATAAAATAACTAAAATTTTATTTTTATGTCAAGTAATAAATAAAAAAAATTTTATTTTATCAAATTTTTTTTGAAAAAAGTAAAATAATAATATTTTAAAATTAAACTAAATAATGTCGATCTTAAAAATTTTGTCTAAATCTAAATCTAAAGAAGTAACTCGGCCTGAACAAGTTTATTTGGGAGTCTTTTAGACTTCCCCCCACGACAAAAATTACACATTGCAGCCTGTAGAACGTAGATAGAAGATGTAAAAGGATATCATATGAACACTGACTGTTACCACAAGATGTTAAAAAATGTAAGCGAAATGCCATTCCATATTTTCAACCGATCCTTTTTAGTCCTTCAGTGATGATTGGACATCAATGGGATGAGACAAAAGTAGTTGGACGAAAGTAGTGTTTTCTTTCTAATGTAAATGTGGGCATGTCTTGTATTGTTAAGTGAAGATGAAAAAATCTAGCGGCAGAAACCGGTAAGACAAATAGCCGACGAAACCACAAGATTCTAGAAGTGGCGTTGTGGGCCCCTGTGAAGTATTGGAGGTGGGCGACACGCAAGCTATTCTCGTACTAAATGTTTTAAGTCCAACCGATGGATATGATGGATGAGAGGAATTGAGGATATTGGACGTGTGGAACAAATATGCACACCAACAAAGTCCTTAAGTCCTAATCATTCATTTCCAACACCAAGAGACAGTCCGTTGCACTTTTGAGTTAATAACAACATGGAAGCTGCAAAATTTGTTCTGGGTTTAAACTTGTTCATTTTTCAGTTAAATTTAGTAGTATTTGCTGCTGATGGATATAGCAGGAATGACTTCCCACCGGGCTTTGTTTTCGGTGCATCAGCTTCGGCTTATCAGGTTTGTCTGGTCTGCTTAAATCAGTTTTGCATATATCTAATATGGAAATATTATAGTTCTAGTATTAATGCTGTTGAATTTGTGCTTGCAAATGACCAATGAAAAGTATGAAGGTGCGGCTAATAAAGATGGGAGGACTCCCAGTATCTGGGATACTTTTGCTCATGCTGGTACCAAATTTCCTTTAAAATTCCCTCACTTTGCCTTTTATGTGTTTTATTTTCTTGTTGTGGTACTAGTGTCACTCCCTGGGCGGGCGCACTAGTTGGTGGCTGTTTCGGGGCAAATCTTGTTATATCAAATGGGTCTATGTATGGACACAAGCAGATTTCCCATATGCCACGGGAACTTTTGTCCTTTCTTTTTACCCTAGGGACCCGTTCGAAACCAGTGAGGCACTGGAATATCTCGGAAGTACTTCTATGCTCCATAAAATTAGTGGAAATTGCAATATAGAATTGCTTGCATATAATATTTATTTATATATGATTACCCCATGACCAAGGCTATGAACTTTGATGAGTTGAGAGGAGGGGAGAGAGTCAGACCCTTTTTTTTTGCTTCATGACCTTTGCAAGAGATGATATGCTCTTCTCCATCGATAAGGCCTTCAAATGGATAAACAAAATGGATCCTTGTACGAATTTATAAAGCGATAAACTTGAGAAATTATATGCTGATACGAGATCTGATAAAGCTGATTAATTGCCTCAGGGTATATGAGTGGAGCCAATGGAGACATAGCATGTGATGGGTATCACAAGTACAAGGTGCACACATATGGTTCTCCTTTCACTATAATAAGGCATTGATTTTAAGGTTTTTTATTTCTTATACACTGCAAACCTGCTCTTTCTTTCTTCCTTCTTTTAAACTAGTTGTGAAATTTGTTAAATCACTAGAATGTTTTACAAAGTAACTTCCTTTATCCAGTGTCATAACGTCTAAATCTGGGGATCTATCGTTAGACATTGACTTAAGGGAGTCGTCACCAATTTTTTTATCTAAGTGCGATTAATCACCTAAAGAATCTGTCCTTTCAGGGAACACCTAAGTTTAAGGGTCCCTAAAAGAATAGGTTCAGGTTTACTAATCAGAATAGGGTTCGAGAGTTCGGTTACGTGTGAGGAAGGTTATAGCACCCTCACAACGCCCATCAAAAGATGGTACCAGCTTAAATTTGTGTTATCCAATTAGCCTTAAAATTTTACCAAGTAATTAATTATTGAAAATTATTCTCAATTGACTCTAATACTTTTAGCAAAAAATTAAAAAAATTTCCTCACCTCAAGAGTATGCAAGAAAAATTACTGTTTCACTTGCAGAGGTTCCTTCGTCGGATTATTTAAAGAAAAATCAAAATCAAAATAAAAATAAAAATGAAGGAAAGGATGATTGTTCTTGTGCAGAAAATATTGATACTTTCAACTTTTCTCCAAAAATTGATTTTTTGAAAATTTTATTTTCAAGAAAAATTGATACTTTCAATTTTTCTCCAAAAATATTTTTTTTGAAAATTTATTTTTAAGGAAAATTGATACTTTCAACTTTTTCTCAAAAATATTTTTTTGAAAATTTATTTTTAAAAAAATTGATACTTTCAACTTTTTTTCAAAAATATTCTTTTGAAAATTTTTTTAAGGAAAATTGATACTTTCAAATTTTTCTCAAAAATATTTTTTGGAAAACTTTGATTTTCAAGAAAAATTGATACTTTCAACTTTTCCTCAAAATTTTTTTTTTAAAATTTTATTTTTAAGAAAAATTGATACTTTCAACTTTTTTCCAAAAATATTTTTTTGAAATTTTATTTTTAAAGAAAATTGATACTTTTAACTTTTCCTCAAAAATATTTTTTGAAACTTTAATTTTCAAGAAAAATTGATACTTTCAACTTTCTTCAAAAAAAAGCTTTTTTTGAAATTTTATTTTTAAGAAAAATTGATACTTTCAACTTTTTCCCAAAAAGATTTTTTTTTATTTTTATTTAAAGAAAATTGAATAATAAAACAAAATAAATAAAATAAAATAAAAAAAAGTAAAACAAAAATAAAAATAAAAATAAAATAAAGATAAAAAGAATATTAAATAAACCTAATATAATAAATCAAATAAATAAAAAACAAATAAAAAAAAATCTGGAACGGCTCGGTGTACGGTTCGGCTCAAGAAAGAAAAAACGGCTCCGAGAAGCGGCTTGAAATCTTGGTTCGACTCTATTATCGGCTCGGAGGGGGAGACACGCGTGGGTCAAGAAGCGGGTCGACATTCGGGTCGAGTCAGATTTAGGCAAAACGCACGGATCATCTGGGTCACTTAAGGTAAAAACGACGTCATTTTGAGAGGGTATATAAGGCTCTTCCCTTTATTTTTTAACAGAATCCTTTTCCCTTATCTTTCTCTTCTTCTTTTTTCTCTCGCTTCTCTCTAAAAGGTCGAAGAATTTTGGTTGAAGATTCACCGGATTCTAGGATTTTTCATCGGAATCTGGGTTTTTTGTCGGAAGTTCGTCGAAAGTTCATCGATTTTTGGGATTCTTGATCGAAAACTGGGTAGCTCGTCGAAAACTTCAAGGTTGACCAAAATTTTCATCGAAAAACGTAACTTTCACCGAAAAATTCAACCGAAATCTGAAATTTTTCATAAATTTTCAGAGAAAAAAAACGTAAAAAATCTTCAAAAAATTTCTGCTAATTCCCAGAACCCTTCTAACCCTTTTCTTTCAAATCAGTAGCTTTGCTCACTATTTTTTTTTTGTCTCCTGCTTCTGTTCCAGGAGGTCTTTTTTATAGGGATTGATCAGGAGTTCCTGATCAATCCCAATTTCTCTTTGGACGGGGATTCAATCTTTGAATTCAATCTGAACTCTTCTGATTGAATCCTCATTCACAATAGGATTCTTCAGCCTTCAATCACAACCCCAAAAAAAGAAAAAAAATTAAATAAACGAAAAAAATAAAAATAAAAATTAACAGATAATAAAATAAGATAAATCAAAAAAATATTACAAGATAAAAATAATAATAATAATAAATATATAACTATATAAATAAAATACATATAAATATTAACAAAAATAAATAAATAAAGATATACATATATTAATACATAATAATAATAAATAAATAATAAAATACATAAAATACAAAAAAATAAAAATAATACAAAATAAAAATCGAATTGGGCTTACCCATTTGGGTCGGGCCCAATTGATCCGGGCCTGGACCAAATTGGGTATCTACAGTTGTCCCTCTTTACACATTTTCTGTGAAACAGAAATTGCGCAAAGACGTAGACACCCAATCAAGACTCAACTCAACATTGTCTTTTTTATTTTTTTTTATTTTTTTATGTTTTTTATGTTTTTTATTTTTTGTGTTTTTTTATGTTTTTTTATGTTTTTTGTGTTTTTTGTGTTTTTTTTTTTGTTTTTGACCAAAGCTCCTCTAAACAGAGGCTCAACGACTTTGAAGAACATAAATTGCTCCTCTAAATAGAGGCACAATGACTTTGAAAAGTAAATTGCTCCTCTAAATAAAGGCACCACGACTTTTGAAAAAGTAAATTGCTTCTCTAAACAGAGGCACCGCGACTTTTGAAAAGTAAATTGCTCCTCTAAACAGAGGCACCACGACTTGAAAAAGTAAATTGCTCCTTTAAATAGAGGCAACGAAACTTTGAAAAATAAATTGTTCATTGACAATCATATCCAAAAGAGTTGAAAGTTATGTTTGAAGGAATTTCAGGAGATTATGCCCAAAGGTCTTATAAATCAACCCTAATACCAAAAGGCATCCTATTTCAAGGATTAAAAACTTACCGAATAAGCTTTTTCTTTTTCAATTTTGTAAAATATCTTTATATCTGTCTTTTTCATGTGGGATGTTGGAACACCCTTGCTTCTTGAATTTATACACTATACTTTCCTGAAAGTAATGTATGCTATGCAAATGCATATGAATTTCAATGCATGCTATGCAAATGTTGGCCAATTAATTCCTGTTCAATGTATGGTACTCAAGTTTCTCAAGCTTTTCTTGGGCATCAAGCCTTTAGATTCTTCAGAGATCCAATTACACTGCTCTTCTAAGATCAAATCAATGTAGCTCTTAATTGTTTCTTTCACTCATAATCTTTCTGTAAAAAAAAATCTTTTTCCAGATTCAATGTGCTAATCAGGAACTGAACATCTCGGTTCTGCCTTTATCACTCTTGATTTATTCAATGTAATGTAAAAATCTTTTTATGTTGTTATTCATTCATCAATCATTATTTCAAACTCAAAAAGTAAGAATGCATTTGCATATTTCTTCCATGGTGGGGTACTAAGAAGAAAGGAATATGAATGGTTGGGAAACAGTCATAAAAAAAAGGCACACAGAATGAAATAAAATATTTTTTTATTAGCAAAATGTTGGTAAACTTTGACCAAGAAAGAATTACAATGATAGGTATAGGGACAAAACCCAAAATGAACAATCAGATAATCATGATAACACATCTCAAAGTTTTTTTTTGAAAACTCAACCCTCTGATATATTTAACAACTTGGAACTCTTCTGAATTTGCTAGTCTTCATATCAACGGACTTTTAAATTCGATGCTGTATTCTCCTTATCTAAGTTATCTTTTCAGGTTTTCAACTTAGACAAACCTCATATGACTCAAACCGTCCTTTTAAGGTTTTCGCCTTGAGTCTTTCTTTTTCATTCACTTTTTTTTTTCATTTTTTCATCATTTTTTCATTTTTTTTATTTTTTTTATTTTTTTTATTTTTTCAAGCATAGTATTTCTTCACAGCATCGAAATTTATAGGATGGGGTAAATCATTTTCATCAATCTCAGTCAGTATCAGCGCTTCACCCGAAAAAGCTCGTCTTATCACATACGGTCTTTCTCAATTCGAAGTCTATTTTTTTCTACTATCATGCTGGATTGAAAGAATTTTTTTTCAAAATCAACTCTCCTTCTCGAAAGCAACGGGGTCGAATCTTCTTATCATGAGCTCTCATCATTCTTTTTTGATATAGCTGACCATGACACAACGTAATCAATATCTTTTTTTTATGAAATTTAACTGCTCATAACGTTCTCGAATTCCATTCAGCTTCTTCTAACTCAACTTCTTTTAAAACTCTCAAAGAGGGGATCTCTACTTCCACTGGTTGTA